TATTGTCTTAACTGAGGAAGTTCAGACCAGCAAGGATGTATCAAGACAGTAGCCTGGGCTGTTTCAGTTCCCTTGACAACAAACACACTTTGTGGAAGGAAGAAATCATGCATTACTTTTCCTCTGATTACCTAGGTTTATAAGCATTTGTCAAGCACTTGAAAAAAAGCTTCCTTGTTCTTACTCAAACGGGGCCATCTGAATTTGGTTAGTGTCACACTTGTAGGGTTCCAGCACTCAATCAGTGATTGCTTAGATGTCTATTTTGAGTTGTCTAAACAACCATTCCCTGAGCTGTGGTGTGTTCTGTTGGCCCATAAATGGGCAAGCAGGGAACATGAGTTCCTGATTGTGGAGGAGGAACCTGTGGCACATTGCATCCTCTTGTCACTGCATTGCCCATTCCAGAGTGCTGCTAATTGACCAATGGTGTTTGTCCCAGCAACCTAGTTAAATAAATCTGTGTGCACTGTGACGTGATTATTTTTTTCTTGCAGGACCATATTTGAATCCTAAATCAATAGCTAAGTCTCAATGTTCTCTATGTCCTTCTTTTAAAAAAGCCACATACACCAGGGTGATTATATTCAGAGTGGAATTGACCTTGGTCAGTCTCTCTAAGGAGAGCTTACTTCCCTAGGCTTTTGGAAGTGTGACAAACTGAGGGGCTGAAGTGGGCAGCCTTCCCAAGCTGTCATTAGCTCTGTGATACTACTGCTGATCCTGTGAGATAGTCTGGTTCAGACCATCCTGCAGTAGGTCTTCAGAAGATCTTTGACAGGACAAAGCAGAGAGAACTTTTCAAGACAATAAAGCAGTGTTCACTAGTCTGCAGTTTGCTCTGTGTGCTCTTACGGTGTCCTGAGCCCAGTGGGCACCTAGTGAAGACTTCAGCTGCACAGACCTGTCTATCAGAATTGATGGGAAGTGAAAGGTGCCTAAGAGTGGGATTAACTAAACACCCCTCAGCACAGTTAGGGTTGTACATATTCATTAATTTTCCTTTCACCTTCCACTGATTATTTATGAATTGTGTGGATTTTGGCAGCTTTATTTCTGACTAATTGCCAGAAATGAAGATCCTGTAATTATAGGGAACTGTAAGAAACTAAAGGAAACCCACTATAACACTCATTTCTGTATGAGGAAGACAGGTATTGTTTGTCCCCAAGTGGCAGGATTTGTAGTATCCTGTGTGGGATAGCTAACTATAAAACAGAAGAGGCTCTTTATAATGAGCCTTTATAATGAGTGTCTGTTCAGTATTTCTCCTGAGTTCAAAATATTTCTAGAAATAACATGTACCTTTTCTCCTTAAAGTTCAAAGGAGTTTCAAGCTTTATCTCATGGAAAGTAAGCAGGAAACATTAAATCTCCTTGTTTTATGGAAAAACTGAATTCCAGGTGAATTCAGTCACTTGCTCTGGATTTTGCAAGTCAGGGGTCCTCCTTGAATTAGCAGGCCCTGTGCCTGCCTCTGTATCACCCCACCTTTTTCTTTTTTCTTTTCTTTTTTTTTTTAGCACTAGGGCTTGAACTCAGGGCCTTCACCTTGAGCCACTCCACCAACCCTTTTTGTGATGGGTACTTTTGAGATAGGGTCTCGAGAACAGTTTGCCTAGGCTGACTTCGAACCATGATCCTCTCGACCTCTGCCTCCCAGAGTAGCTAGGATTACAGGCATGAGCTGGCTGACCCCACTCATTTGCATCTGTCTGCCTGTCTTTGTCCTTCTCACAGGATCTTGCCTGTCTGCAGTCTTCCCTGCCTTCTCTCTGCACCAACCACAGGAGTCGTTTTGAGAGCCCTTAGTTGGTGCCCACTGGCCCGGATAAACTGAAAGCTCTTGATCAGGGCTTCCTTGGTGATGGGACTCTGGCCATCTTCCCTCGTGCCCTGGCTCCAGCCATACTGTCTCCTTGCAATCTTGGAAGGTCTTTGAAGGTTGCACCCACAATGTGCCGCTGACACTTCCCTTCTTGCACTGTCCTTCGTCCTTAGCCCCAGCTGCTCTGGAAGCTTTTCTGGTTGCCCCTCTGCCTCCTCCCCGTCTTACCCCAGGAGGTCAGGACAGACTCTTGGCTGGTTCCTGTGTTTTTCAGATCGCTTTGGTTTTCTCTCCCAGGTGCCTATAAGGTACTGAGAGTGGAGATGTGTGATGTTAATTTCTTGTATCTCCAACTGACTGAGAATTGATATGCGATACTCATTATTTAGACAGTAGCCAAATTTTAGCCCACCTGATCCACACCTAACGGTTCTCTATTAGACACAGAAAGCCCTTGATGAATAGTAATGACCCTACATACTCAAAGTGTGTTCCAGCCACTGCCCCGAGCACCGCACCTGAAGTCACTCACTGACTCCTCCCACAATTTCCACCAGCTCATTTACAGATGGTAAAACTGAGACACAGAACACTTACGTGACTGGCCTAGAGATACAGCTGTTAGGTATCAGGATAAACCTAGGCCTTTTGGCTCCAGAAATCACATTCAGTGTAGTGAGTCACATTTATCCCTGGTTCCTATTTCTAGCTTGATCTGATATAATGGGTAGAAAGCAATACAGGAAGGCATCTCAAAACTTAACATATACCAACTCATTCCTGTCTGAACAAGAGAAATGGGAGTGGGGGTTGGGAGGGCAATAGGTGGGTTTAAGTGAGGAATTCAGATGACCACAGTGGCTCATATCTGTAATCCTAGCAACTTGGGAGGCAGAGATTTGGAGGATCACATTTCAAGGCCAGCTGGGCAAAAAGGGAGACAACAAACAAGCTAAGCATGATAGGGCACGCAGTAATCCCAGCGATGCAGGAGGCATAGGTAAGAGGATTGCAGTTTCAGGCTGACCCAGGCAAAAAGTGTGTGAGATCTTATCTGAACTCAAACTCCAGTAGCACCCCCACCCCCGAATTTAATTAATTAAAGCAAATAAAGGTTTCATAAATGAATTTAGATTTTACTATTTTTAACAGTATTTTAATAATAAAATTTCAATTGAAAGATGATAATGAATGCCTACTATAGTTTTTATGCTGTTAATTTACTTTTATACTGCTTTTTAGGTATTTGCAGATATTTAACAAGATATTTTTTATTCTTGTTGGGCTTCCAAAGCATCACAGAATCTGTCTTCCTCTACAGCATGTAGAAAGCTTTCACATCTATTATCTTATCTTGCTGGAGGTCAGCAATTGTACAGACTTGTTGGCAATCGGATGGACTACAGATGGAGGACACTGCACGTCCTCGGTCCATGTCTCAGCCCATGTCTCAGTCCCTCTAGGGTCTTTTTCCACCTGAGCAGGCCTGCATGGCAGAGAGCAAGGTGTCCTTTATAAACTACTTTATTTATTAGGAAGTACGCTCCCTTTGAGACATCATCGTGTTAAGGATGATGACTTTGTCTCATTCAGTTTTACCCCACAGAATGCTGCAAAACTGACCTGCAGTAGATGTCTAGGAAATGCCCAGCATATGTGCATGAAAGTGCTGGAGTGACCTGAGTTGTATTTATTCCATTAAATGACTGGTCATGGTACTAATAATGCTGAAAGTAATGTAAAAAAGGAATTATCACCACAGCCACCCACATACCATATGAGCATATAATCGAGAATGCTTTGTGGAGCTGTGCTTTCTTGCAGTTTTAGGTTCAAAAAGTGCAATTAATCCCCAGAGAGAAAGCATGTGCTGAAATACTAGAAAGCATAGTTAGATGTACCATCACCCATAGGCCCAGAATCTTTATGTAAACTATTCTGTAAAATAAATATCTTCAAATAAGTTAAGGAAAAACAATTTTCACAGAAATGGTAGGGCAGGAGATTTTGCCTATTGGATTCATCCTTCAGTAGTTTAACGGGGAAGAGGGCACAGGATATGGGAGACAGCATTTTAGCACTTTCTGTGAGCGGCAGTCAGAAGGACTTGGGAGAAATATTACTCCTAAATTTAAAATGAAGCAACCAAAGCAATTTTCAGGAGGCCATGTCTTGTTAATAGTGGAGCCCTGGCTCTTAACCATTCTACTTTATTGTACTGAGAATGACACCAAACAATTGAAACCCATACCAGTAAACAACAAAAAAATTCCACACCCTTATTTAGAGGAAGTCTTGTCATGACTTACATTTTACTAAGAGTATCTATTACCTCCATTCTCAATCTGGACATAAATTTTGACAAATCACTGCATATAATTCTTTGTTTTGTGATTTTTTTAAGAGACATTCTAGCCTTACTGATTACCAAATATATATAAACCAAATAACTGAGATACTATTTTTTCACCTAATTAACAGTTGACTTTTAGAATTATCTTCTCTTCTGAGAGGTAGTGAAGCCCAGGCTGATACTCTTTGTTGGGGGAAAAGTAAAATGATAAAAGGTTTTTGTAAACCAAAAAATACCATTTATATCTAAATTATATTCTAAAGGGTACTTTAGAAAAAGTACCCTTTGACCCAGGAATTCTATTACTGGTATTTTGTCCTTGGAAATAATCATAAATATAGAAAAGACACTTATGTACATAGGTTACATAGTAAAATGTGATGACTTTTATTTTAAATTGTGCTGAAGAACTAGTTATGTATAAAATATATTCAAATGCAAAAATACTCCATTTTAAGTAACCTTGTTTCCCTTCATATTAAAGAATCCTAAAATTGGCATTACTTGCTGATTTATACATGATACTGGTTTTGCCATTATGAGTACACACAAAAGTGTACAAAGTGAGCCCTATTTTTTGACAATGACATTTCTGGCATGACCTGTTCATTGCTTTTCTCTCACTAAATAACAGCTAATTGGAACTGCTAGTAGCCAGATAATCTAAGCTTTATCAATAATATAATTTTTGTTAGGGATATTTACAGCTAATTATTTAATAGATTCTTTTGCTTTACCTTTTCTCTTAAAACTTAGACTTTCAAAGTTTTTCTTAACTTAAAAATATTTCTTGAAAAAAATCAGGTGTCTAGTACTTACATACCAGTGCCTTCTAGGGCCTCCGTAGCAGCAGTCAGTATTTGTTCAAACTGAAGCAAGTTAAGTGTGGCATGTTGCTTTAACAGAAACTGTGCAGACATCCTTTTATGGTTGGTGCTTTTTTTTTTTTTTCCTGTTCCCTGTGACTGAGCATACTAGTAAGCAGTTAACCTCATATATACGTGCATACTTTAAAAAAAAAATGGGAAGTGAGATTTCTGATACGATTTTTGAAAAAAGCAAAACCAGGCAACTGTTCAAAAGCCCCTTGGAATTTATGAATTGTTGGTATCTATGGAACTTTATAAATTTTTCATAAAGATTTAAGTATTTAAAAAGTTCTTTGGAGCAGTAAACCTTAAGCAAGAAAAGAGAAAAGAATAGTTGCTGGTGATTTTATATTGATGTTCTGGGAAAAAATTGGGGTTTTAAAATGCTTTAAGGAAAAAAAGTCAGTTTTGTTAGTGGTATCTCTCTTTCTGGAAAGTTAATAGCTGGAGTAGTTATGCAGTCTAAATCTGGTCATCAGTTCATGACAAAGAAAGGTTTCTGTGGTGTGTGGAAGGACAGGTTAGGTGATGTTTTCAGGCAAGAGACCAATGGAATCAGTGACTGTGGACTCAGGGTGGCAAGGAGAGCTGAAGGAATTACATTGCAGGTGTAGTCCAGCTTCTCGCATACAGAATGAAGACACTTCCACTGCTTACCTCATGGTTTTAGTTGACTCAGTTTAAGCCAACAATGTAATGTGGCTGTCAAACGCAATTTATTTGCAGGCTAAATTACTAGAAGTATAGTGCTCACAAGAGGTAATATCTACCCTCATCCAGGACTGATCTGTCCATTCCAATCACTTCTGGGTGCTCCATTTTAGAAAGGAATGCATAGATCACATGGGGTGGTAAGGGACCTGGAGAGTGGGTCTTAGGAGAAGTAATTGTATGAGCTAAGAATGCTTAGGCATTGCAGGGATGTGATAATGATCTTCATGCATTTGAAATCTATCTCAAAGGGTTTAAGATTGCTTTTGTCAGCTTCCGAATTCCAGAGAATAGGAGAGCCAGTAAGAGGAAGTTAGTGAAGAAGACTTTCAGATCAAAAGATGAAAGTCATTCCTAAAAGTTGAGATTAATGAGCCAGTTGTACTGGCCCACATCTGTAATCCCAGCACTCTGAAACAGGTTGATCATCAGTTCAAGGTCAGCCTGAGCTACATACCAAAACCTTGTCTTAAAAAAACAAAAAGTAAGTTGGGATTATTTTTAAGGAATGTGCTATTTAGATACTTGTATGAACTGGTTGATGATTTTGAGAGATGATACAGAGAACTGAATCGTTTGGTAGGAATTTGCACCTCTATAACCCAGCAGCTTTTTGCTCCAGGATTCTATATAATGGCCATGTGGGTTTATCCTGGTATCATTAAGCTCTAAAGTGCTAAGAATCTGCAAAAGGGAGGCTACTGTCAAACTGAGGATTGAGCAAGTCAGCTGAATTCTTTGGGCCTCTATCTTACTGTCTTAAAAATAAAAGTATTGAACTAAGTGATCGCCAAGGTAATTCTAAATACAATAATTCTATGAGGAGGAAATACAAAGATTTTATGACTTGATAGATAAACATGGCATAATCTAGAACCAATTCATTTAAAACATAGATTGGGTGCTGGGGGTTTATAGCTCAATGTAGAGAGCACTTGTCTGTCTACCATGTGCAAGGCTCTTGAGTTTGATTTCCAGCATCACAAACAAACAAAACCATGAGTTGACACTGTTGAGAAATTTTCAATTTGTTGAAAGCTATCCTGGTGGGATATTTTTTGGCTTTTGATTTTGAAAATAGTTATTACTAAGTAAAACACTGTTATATAATGTAAGACTCAACTACTTAAAGCAGCTGTTCAGGTGAACCGGATCCGTCCTTTTTCTGGCATCAGAGTAGTCAATCATATAAAGAAGAGGCAATAGCCTGCAGGTGCTGTTGAAGTTTCACGTGAGGTAATTTTATGGGCTTAAACCTTATTTTCACTGTTTTTGAAATTTTTTCAGGGCTTCTTTAGCTGTGATTGTACTATAAAAGTAGAGGTGATGTGCTTTCCTGTAGAAGAAGTGAGATGAATTTTTTGTGATCTTAACAGAGTATTTTCATTATTTGCTCTACCAAGTATAGTCATGAGCACATAGTAGGTACTTAATTATTGTTAGTGATATTAGTTAAAGGAATGAATTCTTTATAACCTTATTTTGTTTTTTCTGCTTAAGATAAGGTTTTCAGAAGTTAGCTGTGCACAGTGTAAAAAAAGGTCAAACTGATTGTTGTTGGCAGTATAAAGAACAGATGTCATAAAATAAGGAAAAGAGAAAAACTGGTCAGTGACTAATAACATTATGGTATTTGGTGAAGTCTGTGTGTGTAGAAATAGCAACAGAAAATTTCTACAAAACAACCCAGATAGTCCTGGTTTAAGACGTGTACTTTTGTACTATGCGTGTATGTGGTCTAGTATTTAGTCATCATTTAAAATTATATAGTGATTAGTAACTTTTAAGGAATTTTTAAACTTCTTCTGTTGGTGTATAAGATGTAAACTGTGGTCATTAAAATTCCTACCAGCATTTTAAAAATTTATGTTGAAATGTAACCTCAAACAAGATCTTTGCTTCAGGTTATTTAAGTATAACATCACTTTTTTGTGCATTATTGTTAAATGTAAACAGAGGAACCTCTGTGAACTGAGAACCTCAGAGGACATGTTCTGTGGGGAGAGAACTCAACTGCAGTTGGCTCAGACAATTAGGTTTTATTATTACTAAAAATCTGTAAGGCCATATTTTGAGTATATTCATGAAACTATATGCTTTAATACCATTAAAAATGATAAAAACAAGAAAAGGGACCATTTAAAACAAAAGGTAAATTCTGCTATATGATTCCACCAATTTTAAAGGAAAATTCATTTGTTCTGTAATATTTAGTGAGTACCTACTCTGTGCTCAGTTCTAGACAGTAAAACAGCAAATAAAACAGACCAAACTCCACATCCTTGTGCAGCTTCCATTCTAGGTGGGGAGAGATGACAAATAAATGAATCACACAGTAGATTAGAAAGTGATAGATGCTATGGGGAAAGATAGTAAGGAAAACAGAGTGCAGAGTGGGCTGGGGCTATGAGGTATGGGTGTGTGTGTGTGTGTGTGTGTGTGCACGCGTGCGCACACACACACACACACAGGCAATGGCAGGAGTGGTCAGGGTGGGCTGCTCTGACAAGGTGCTGTTCTCATAGTAGAAGACCAAATTCTGATGGTAGGGGACACAGGGCCTATAGTCTTTGTAAGGACTTTGGTCTTTAAGGTAGAAAGTTATTGGAGGATTTTAAGCTAACTTGTACTTTCCAATGAAAAGCACAGCTGTTTAATCAACTGTGGGTTTAGAATTGAACAAAACCAATTCTCTTGTGTAGTACTTAGAAATCTCTGTTAATTTTTTTAATCCAGCAAATACTGAGTATGTGTTAAGTCTAAGGAACTTTGCTAGGCATCAAGGCAGTACAAAACTAAGTACATTATAGTGCTTTCTCTTGGTATTAATCTAATCGGAGATTTTGGAAACTCATAGACTTAATTAAAATGTAAGTCAGACCCACCTGAGCATGGGTCTCCATGCCTATAATCCTAACTCAGGAAGCTGAGGCAAGAGGATCATGAGTTCCAGGTATGGGCTAAATAGCAAGACCCTCTCTCAAAACAAAAAGAAATGGGTCATACAATTGTTTAAGTATAAGGATTATTTAATTTTCCCAAACTAAATGAGCTTCTAAGCTGTACCAATTGTGCTGATGCTGGGGGAACCCGCAGGACTCCATTTCTTTCCTGCTCTGTGTTCTGTGTGTGCTTAGTCCAGGAAGAGGGCAGATGGGCAAAGAATCCACCACTGATCAGCATGGTAGTCACTCTGCTCACTGTACACGAACCTCTGCTACTCAGTCCCTGCCATGCTCATATTCTGCGAGCTAAGTGTTGCTTACACACCTCTGTATCCTGACCTCAACGTGGTACCTGTACTTAGGTATTCATTGGCTGGGGTTTTCCCTATTCCAGCACTTGCACCATTCTTGTCCATTCCTGTTGATATTGCAGCCAGTTGTCACCTTTGCTGTGTATGGGAGTGGGAGGTTGTTAACAGTAGAATTGAGAAGACAGAGAATGATTTTCAGAATGTGGTCTCTATCAGAGATAAGAAAATGTACAAGAGGCCAAGAGGGTACTGTGTTTCCACAAAAGTGTAGTGAGAACTTCTTTGTAGAAGTGAAAAATAGTTCTTGTGCTATTTTATGGTAATGAAATAACTCTTTGTACTGATGCCATAAAAGATAGACCAGTTAACCCAAGTATGTAATGAAAATGGGTGCAAGAGTATGCCAAAACCACCCTGCTCGTTCCTGTCACCAGACTGTCCCTGGTAGGAATGTTAGCTTACAGTCCTGGAAGGAGTTCCATGAGGTTACTGAATGCTGCTTGCTCATGGGTGCAGGTGTAGCTCCTCTGCTTGGCATCCACCTTTACAGGTGTTGCTTACACACCTCTGTATCCTGATCTCCACGTGGTACCTGTGCTTAGGTATTCATTGGCTGGGCTTGATCCATCCATTTACTGAAACAGCAAAACTGACATACCTTTAGGGGCAAAGAAGAAAGCTGCTAACCACCAAGAGGAGTCAAAGAAATCTTGCAGTGCCATGCAAGATGGGTTTCTTTTTCTTTTTTCTTTTTTTTTTTTTGCGGTACTGGGGCTTGAATTCAGGGCCTACACCTTGAGCCACTCCACCAGCCCTTTTTTGTGTTAGGTATTTTTGAGATAGGGTCTCAAACAACTAATTGCCCGGGGCTGGCTTCAAACTGCAATCCTCCTGATCTCTGCCTCCTGAGTAGCTAGGATTATAGGCGTGAGCCACCGGCACCTGGTGCAAGATGGGTTTCTTAAGCAGAAGAGTGGAAAGGATTTTTTAGATTGAAAAATAATTCATGTCAGTGTCTAATTAAAGGACCATAAAGTGCCCAAGAACCAGCCCACATGAGTGAGGTGGGAGAGGGAGAGAGAAGGAGCCAGTGAGAGAACACTTTGTGTGTTTTGGGCCAGATGTGGGATAGAAGAAGACAGTTGTGGGAAACTACAGTCATAAAATTTTGCAGGTTTTTGCTACTTTGCAGTAATATTTAAATTTCATCTTTGGGAGACTGTGGAAGTGAAGGACAGAGTGCAGGATGTCCCACATGTCATTTGTGTATCAGAAGGAAGGGTCTTAGACAGTCCAGTGATATGATCAGATACCTATCTTCTAGCACAGGGCTAAAAACTTAAAGGGAAGACCTCTTATTTGGGGAAGAGAGTGCTGTTAACCATGTTAAGAGGCAGATTAAAAAGAAGCAAGAGTGGTAGAAGGACTTCTGAAGGTATCAAATTGAATTTCAGAGTCAGGGTGAAAGGCAAGCAGGCAGTGTTAGGACTCACTTTATTTTCTTAGTCAAAGCCATAGAAGGAGTTGAAATTATTCAGAGATAAGAAAAAGAAGAAAAGACTTCTTCGAGGGCTAAGGGAGCCCTCCAAAATAGTAGGAGAGTGGTGTGAGAAGTCATTGGGAACCAACAAGAAAGAAAAAGTTTAAAAGGAGGAAGGAATTTAAGAAAAGGAGGGCAGGAGTAGCACACAGTGGTGATAGAGTACTGGTCAAAGTCTGAGATGAAGCTTTGGATTTGACCTTGAAGAATTCTTTTCTTTCTTTCTTTCTTTTTTTTTTTTTATCCGTATGGATCATGAAGAATTCTGATGTTTGTTGCTTGCTTTTGGTTTGTGTAGTCTCTTCATTATATTTCAAGTCATTTATGGGGATTAAACATAGCATTCGTTTTAAATTTTCCCACAAGACCTCACAATTAGTTAGTAGATGATGAACCACTCTTTTGCAGTGGTTTGGAAGGGTCATCAAGAATAGGATAATTAGAGTTTTCATAAAGTATTATATGCAAGTATAAATTATTTTGCACATGACGAATGTTTGAAACCAACTCATGTAAGACCATGCTTTTAGAATGAAATAAGTTATAAGCAGTGTTACTTCAAATACCCATCTGCCATTAGTACTGTAAGTTCAGCCTTACACTATAGTGATTTTTCTTTATTTGTTTGCATAGCTTGGCACCTGTGTTTGCTCTGTTTGTACCATTTTACTGCTCCATACCAAGAGTCCAAGTGGCACAAATTCTGGGCCCATTGTCCATCACAAACAAGACACTGATTTATATATTGGGACTACAGGTACAGTATGCATTTTATGTTCACATTTCTTTAACCAAATCTCTCTCTCTCTCTCTTTTTCTCTTTTGATCTCCTTGAAAACAATGTTTTTTTTCCCATAAATTTGCCTCATGATCTATATCAAATGTTCAGAGGAAGTGTTACAGAGCAAGAACATCAAGGTGGAAGGTACTAGAATACTTTCATAGCCTTTACAAATCTGATAAGAGCTTTCACTGTAATTTGTGTAAATGGAAAATATTTTCATTCAGTGGTACAATTGTAAGTATGTTTTAAGAATCATAGTTTGAAGTAGAAACAAATCAGAATGGTGGAAAGTGGAAATTCAATGTCAGAATTAATTTATTAAATACGGTGTCGTAAATAAAGATCTGAAGAAGAAACGCAGCATGTTTTACTCATCTTGAGTCTTGGCATTTTTGAGAAGCATTGCTAACTTTGTTACTTCTGTGTTTGTGTAGATATGATGGTAGTGTCACCATTTGCCAACTGCCTTGCTGTGCCCAACATTAGAGTACTTAACTGACTTTAAACTTAAAAGGGCGATCTTCACCAATATTCACTGGGCACCAGTTCCAGGTCCTATGGTAGAAGACACACAGTTTTCAGTTTTCTATCTGTACTGCCACTTTTTATTTGGCTCTCACAACTTTTTATGTCAGGTTTTATCCTATAGCTTCCTATGGCACAATGCATAGCTTGGCCTTTTGATCCACTAATTAATACTCATAACATTCCCTGTTCTACACATACCAAACCAGATACTAGTATCACTGTAAAATGCCCTTCTCTCTCCCCTTTTCACCTTTAGCATTTCCTTTCACTTCTCTAGTCTGCTGCCATGCCTTATCAATGGCTCATCTGGGGCGGTGTTTCCTTACCACTTTTACAACCGTTTCTCATGAAGTGTGTTTATTCCTCATCTCTCAACCCCCACACCGTGAGACTTGGGTCAGGTTCCAGTTCTAGCCTAGCTCTCACTGTGTTGAACACCTCTAAGCCTGATGTTGACTGTATAATTCCAACTCTAAATTTATGTAGAATGGAGGACAAGAAACATTGTTTTATTAATTATGGGGTAGGAATTCAGTGTGCCATATGAAAAGTCTTTGGACCAAGTACACTTTGGCTTGTTAACTTGGTCTAATAATTATTTGTTTGTTCTCATACTTTTCCTGAGCCCCCATTTCCCCACCTGTAAAGTAGAGATAATATCTACATTACAGGGTTTTTAAGGACCAGAGATCATAGTATGGGTGTTTTTAGTGTACTCTGAACAGATAAGAAGAACTGAGTCAGCTGGTTCATGCCATTAATTAATACCTTATAGCTACCCCCATTAGTTTTTCATTGTGGATGTATTATTATTTTTTGGCAAAACACAAAGTAAGTATTATGTTCCATCTTTTGGGCAAACAGGATTCTAATTAGGGGAGGAGACACTGCCTAGCCTCTGTCACAAGAGCCGCTACATTTGGTGCCATTTCTGCAGTATTTTACAACCCACAGTGAGAGTATCCTTTTGGCTCTGCCCAAAGGCAGAGATGTAGATGCAAGTACCACAGGTGGTATCTCAAAGTAATATAAATTCCTAATATTGTCATAAGAATCCCATCTTGGGAGATAGAAGTCAGTATCAGAAAGTGGAAGTAGAGGTTTCTCATTTGCTTTGTGATAAAACCTCGTCCTTGGCATGAATGGTACCCAGAATTCTTCTTGCCTATCTAGCACCAATTCCCACCCTTCCCCACCTTAAAGTGAGTATGACTGATGTCCATCCTCTCCTTGCCTTTGTCTCCTCTGAGGTTTTGCACGTGTTTCTGTGCCTTCCTTTCTTCCTACCATAGTCACTTGTAAGCAGGGACATTTGTTGAATGAATGAGTGAACGAACAAATGAATGAATGGCTTTCATTGTTATGAGAAGAACCACAATACTTGTTAGGAGACATGTACATATTAGATGGTTGAGAGCCGTCCCTGAGTGCCCTGTGCTAGGGGCTGTGGAGGACGGAAGAAAGTGTGAGATGTGGCCCCTGTCCTTGGAGAAAATTCACTCTTTCATAATGCAAGCAGGCACACTTTGCATCAAGTGTGCAGTGAGATAAGGAGCTTCAGAATCCAAATGACATTGTTTTTTTTATTGACAACATGACATGTTCTTTTTTACTTGTGGATGAGATGTAACAAGGTGGTGAGCACAGGGCTGGGGGGCAGGACACATACCTAGCTCCCCTTCCTCCTATAATTATCTGACCTTGGGGCAAATTATATAGCAACTCAGTTTTTTCACAAGTGAAATGGAGTTCATAGAACCCCCTTATCCAGGGATAAGGGGGATTGCATGAATTCAGTGTATAAAAAGCCTTGACAGCAATGCCTAGCTTGCAGAACATGATAACTGGTTTATTCTTCCTAATGTTAAATGAGAACAAAATACAAAATGAAAGCAAAGTATTTGTCTACATAATTCTTATCCTTGTTACTATGAGAGTCATTTACACTGAACACACCTCATGCCAATCAAAGGTTAAATGGACAGTGACAGCCATCGCCCCTTTCTAGTGAGCCAGCCTCCTTTCTCTCATCCTTAGCCTCTCTTACGCTCTGTGTTGTCTGTCTGCTTTCTGTGTGTTCATGTTAAGGGTGCACAACTTGGGTTTCCATCTAGCACCATGGCAACAATTAATCTGGGCTATCATGTTTGAGTATCCTGTTCCTTCCTCTGTGATCAGAAACTCCCAATCTAAACTCCTAAAAATGAAGAAGCACCAGACCACAAGTCATTTTGTTCTTCTAAGGACACTTTAAGATGCCTTGTGATCTTTTTTTTTTTTTTAAACCCTGAGCACAACTGTTAGATATAAATAATTTGAAAAATAAAAGGAGAAATTTCATGAAATCTAATTCTAATTACTTTTATCATTAATTAGCTCTGATTTTTCTAGTTTATTCCTTCTTGGGTGAATTAGAATGAGGATATCAGCTCTTTAGACGGGTTCGTTGCACATGGAACTGTATGCTGGAAGATCTCTTCTCATCTAAATTTGGAGTAGCAATGATTAAAAAAAATTAAAATGAGAAACTTATTAAACAAATATTATAAGTCATTACCTAATGCTGTTAATTCCTAGTAATTTTTTTACTTGTAGGTTTTTTACTTTAAGTCAATACCTGTTTGCAAACAAGAATATGTTTGAATTTCACTTACTTTCTTTGCACAGGAGTGAGCTAGGTTCAATCAATGTGTTTTCAGTTATAGAAAAACTAACAGCTTGATTTTAAAAAATTAATACTTTCAGTTGGATAATATTTGTTTATCTATATTAAGGCATATGTAATTAATACTTAAAGTAAATAATTGTGACTATATTATAAAAATAAGTATGCTTGACAGTTGAATTTTATTTTTTAACTACTTTTTTTTTTCTTTTATAGCTTTTCACCTCTGGTTCCTATATCTGGATTGTAGCCATAAGTGGACTTGTAAGTATGATTTTCCCCCCTTCCCTCTCTGTTCTAAAAAATAAAAACTAGGAAAAAAAAATGTCATGCTTAGATTGTGAGGCCTACTCACCTGTCCCTGACACTTGCCAGGGCTGCCTCAATGCCACTTCCTTAGTGACTACAAAGGGCCGCTTATATGGAAAATCAAGACAAAGGAGCCAGTTTGTCTCAGGGGGTTTTTTTGTTGTTGTTGTTGTTTTGCTTATTTATTTATTTTGGTGATACTAGAGTTTGAACTCAGGGCTTCATGTTTGCTAGGCAGGTACTTCACCAACCCTTTTTTGTAGTGGGTATTTTTGAGATAGGATCTCGGCAACTATTTGCCTAGGCTGGCTTCAAACTCCAATCTTCCTGAGTAGCTAGGATTATAGGTATGAACCACTGGTGCCCAGCTGTCTCAGTTTTCAAAGTAAATTTGATAAAAGTTTTATCTGAGTTTTTTTTGCTAGTGTTGTTTTTAAATTACATTAGTAGTCTCATTTGTAGTATGAAAAAAATGACAGAAAATGGGGAAGTTAGATCTACTAAAAATAAGGAGAGTTATTATGCTTGTTTTATAAAGAGACACTGTCGTGTGAGGGAAAAAAATAAGGCGAACTGGAAAGTCAGGTGGGTTGGAGCAGACAGAAGACTCATCAGGCCTGTGGCCAGAGAGGGAGGAAGCCAAAGGATGCGGTGTCCTTATCTGTATACTGGAATTTCCTCCCCTCTCCCATGTCTACGCTGTTCATTATATTTTATCAATAAGCACTTGCCTTAAACTCTTTTAGGACCTAATTTAAAAGAAAATTAGATCATGAGCCTGAGTCTAATTCTTCATGGCGAATATAAACTCCTAGATTTAGGAAAATAAATTTGTAACTTAGTATATTTAGATTGTCATTTTCATTTTTTCCTTGGAAAATACTAAGGAAATTACAAAATGGATTTGTAGGAATTTGTATAACATCAAAGGGAAAAGACTCATAAAAAACTGTGCATCATCCCACCAGTAATAAAGTAAGTTATTACTATTTATCCTTATTTCCAGAGTGATAAAATAGAACTGTGTGCCTGAAACTCATTGTGAAGCCATCACAGCACCTGAGCCATCTGGTATTCTTAAGACTCTGGTGGCTTCAGGACTCTGGGACCCAGTTGCCAAGCCCTCCCTAGTCTAAGCTTCTCATCACTGACCTGCCAGCTCTATTGACAGTGACTTACTCAGCCTTTGGACTGATCGAGAACACATGGCTTTGATAGTGAGAGCTACATGTACTGTTTCTTTCATGGTGTATTTTGTCTTAGCAGTAATGGTCTTGAATCCTCTTTGTAGGGTTTTCCTAAACCATTCAAGAATTTGACAACTACTTTATTATATGCCATTTGATTGTGTTGATTTCCTATGGTTCACTTATTTTCACCATCCATTCCTTTCTTAATGGCTCAATATGGGGCTCGCTTATTTTAAGTAGTCCATTTTCTTTTCTTACTGTTTTTAAACTTGATTTTTTAAGTTAAGTGCTTGCTGTCACCTTAGAATTTTCATTTTCTTAGGTGAAATATTGGTTTCAATGCTAAAAGGTAAAATTTTACCAAAAGGTTTTGAACATTCCCCCACAACACTGAATACTATCTGTGCATTTCTTTTTGGTATTATGGTTTTCATTTTTTAGCATTTTATTTAGCTTTATGCCAAAAAGAAAGGCTGAAGGCATGGCCTAAGTAGTAGAGTGCTTGCCTAGTAAGCAAAGGCCCTAACTTCAATCCCCAACACTGCAGCCAAAAACAAAAAAAGGAAGTTCGTTGATCTATGGGAAGAGAAGCAATATTGAGCAAGAGACATCTGGATTAAGCATACTGTGGCTTTTTCAGACCTGGGTCCTGTAGTCAGTGAGTGTAAAGCAGACACTTTGCCATACTTAGGCCATGCCTAAGTATGTTCAAAACCTTTTGGTAAAATTTTACCTTTTAGCATTGAAACCAATATTTCACCTAACATACTCTGTGTTAAGGAAATAATTTTCTTTTACTTTGGCAGTTAATTTGTTAGGAGAAGGAGCTTTTTAAAAGGTTTTCTTGTTTGTTCTTGGTGGTACTGGGGTTTGAACTCAGGCTCTTATGCTTGCTGCACAGGTGCTCTACAACTGGAGCTACTCTGCCAGCCCCTAAAAGAAGGTATTTTTGTAAAACAAGTCATTTTGTTATCTGCTGTTATAGAAACAGCAACAAAAAATTCTCATACTTTTCTCGAAAGCTGCCAATTTCAGTGAGCTTATTTTATTTAGTTAGTTATTGGTTGATTTCTTTCAGGTAGGGTAGTTTTTATCTCCTTGTGTCACTCATTTTTGCATTATTATGGATGTCTCTAAATATACAGCTGTAAAATATTCCAGTGGTTAAAAGAGGAGGTTTATAAATGACATCGGTATGGTATTTTACCAGGTAGGAGCCCACTTTCTGTCATCAGTGATGTCACAGAGAAGAATGAAAACTAAATTCTTTTCCTTTGTTGAGGTAAAACATAGTTTTTAATTTAGCAGGAGTAACAGAATTAGTTTGCCTAGAATGACTGTTCCTCTTCAGTTCCATGTTGTGATCCATCAGAGATTTCACTTCCTGCCCAGGAAGGACAGGGCATTCAGTTGTGCTAAGTGATTACTTTGACTCACATGTGTCATATTAGCACCATTGTGTTCAGTTATTCTCAGAATGTCTTTGGTGGAAGACTTTGAAAAATTAAGGCCACTCTTTATATTCATAATTCTGTTAGTCTTACTACACATTAATACTTTCTTAAAGAAAGCATCGCTCACTTATTGAACTTTATTTAAATTCTTTCTGTGGTTCTGCTGAGATCTTTTGCGCCATCTATGTCTCATTACTTCTTCATTTTCTGCAGTTTTATGAATCATAGTAATGAGTCATTACTACTAGAATGTACCCTGTTTCTCCAAAGCTGATTCTGGCATGATTAAAACAGAAAGAGCTTTTGTCAATTTTCTCATTTTACAATTCACTTATTTATCATTGTTTAGGCCTCTTTCAAGCTGTTTAAGAGCACATTGCCAGAGGGACTTACTTTCTCAATCTCTAGGCTTTTCTGTTTCATATGTCCTTTTTTTTTTTCCCCCTTTTATTACTCATATGTGCATACAAGGTTTGGGTCATTTCTCCCCCCTGCCCCCACCCCCTCCCTTACCACCCACTCCGCCCCCTCCCTCTCCCCCCCACCCCCTCAATACCCAGCAGAAACTATTTTGCCCTTATTTCTAATTTTGTTGTAGAGAGACTATAAGCAATAATAGGAAGGAACAAGGGTTTTTGCTGGTTGAGA